GGGGGTTGGAAGTCCTCGGGGGTGTGGGAACACCCTGCGCGAGGGTGTCTGGAGGCTATCAGGCGGCAAGTAATGGCGTTAGGCGCCCCTTGGGCCCCAGAGGCCAACACATCAGTTAGTAACGGTCTACGCTCGGAGCATACTGCTGCCCGTTCAATATTTCCTCTAATTATGCTAATAATTGTTCCTGCGAACAGTGACGCATTGCTACCCTCCCGTCCTTAAGGGTGGCTGATTTATCGGGATTGGACGATCGTTTGATACTGCCGTGTTCTTTTTCTCTCTCTCTCTCTCTCTCTTTTGATCATTTTTACTTTTAATCCACTCACGTCTTTTCACTTGCAATCGACTCGTCCTTATTGATTCGCTACGTTAAAGTTTGATAGGCCCGATTTCCCGGTGACCTTTCAACCCATTAAAGGCGGATTAGCATCCAGCGATGTGCCGTGGCGTCTGAGCCGTCCTCCAACGTACAAGACTATTCCGCGCGCTTGCTTATCCTTTGTGCCGACTCTGGGGGTTGCCTCGGAGTTTTATTTATTATTTACAGGTGACTTTATCCGGTTATGCGTCTAGAAGGGTAGGAAACTCAATTACAGCGATCTCACCCTCGTTTTACCCTCCCATTCTCCTAAGGTAGATACCAGCTAACACGTGCCTAATGACAGACTTTTACTCGCGCTGTTCACGCGATACCCACCCGTGTTTTGACAAGCAGACAAATGGATGGCAACTGCGAAACTAGGAATGTCGGAATAACACGACGTTTTCTATATGCGGTACGTGTACAGTGTATAGATACCAATCATCGGCAGGCTGTGGATTGCCAGTCGTTTGGGTTCTCTGCTTCAATTTGCAATTCTTCGCGGACTATCGTGAACACTCGATCGAATTGTCCCGACGCTTATATTTTATTTATGAAAAAGGGTCACTTTTTCTTTTTTAACAAAAATTGGGTATGACTTCGCCAGACCGGGTAAAGCAAGTATTTTATTTATTGGGTTACTTATCTATGTACCGTCCGTAGGACATTTATTTTACGAAAATGCTTATAGGCGCTAGATGTGGCTGTGTGGGGCGGATCGACTTTTTTCAGTTTTTTTTTTTTTTTTTCCCGTTCCCATTTATATTTAGCACTGATCCGGAGCGCTGCTACATGCAGCCTGGTAGTTTTTCATTTTTATCCCAGCAATATAGCGTAAGCGTTGCTATCATTTCTCACGATGTGGATTAAAGCCCTGTGCGTCAGACGCGTATCAAGGATGGCTCGAATAAATTGAGGGAAAGCAACCCGGTCCGGGAGGCCTGATTAAATATTATCACGCTTTTCGATTCGCAATAATCGCAGAATCCGAGTAAATGCAGTCGTCTATTGATATTGGCAATTTATAATTAGTCGTTGGTTACGTTGAAAGAAAGTTTTCGTTTGATCGTATTACGGAAGTACGCGTGGAAATTTATTTTTAATTTCTATTTACTCACCCATCTCGCCGTTGTAATTAATCTCCTTTCCGTTTTCCCGTCGCCACATTACGTAAGGTTCCGGATATCCGGTTGCCTTGCAGGTCAGAGTCACGTTCGACGTCTCCCTCACTACCATATCGGTACTGGTTTCCTTGGAGATGATAGTGGGTGGTACTGTCACGATAAGTATATTGTTAGTATTCATGGAAATTCGTAGTGACGACTTGGGCACTTAATTGATTTTATTTTTTTTTTTTTTTCTTTTAATACAAAATTTTTTGTCTGTACGTACCAACGACCTGAAGGTAGCCCTGACAGCTTCGCATGGGATTGGTATTAACTTGACACATGTACCATCCGCGATCGACTTCCTGTACTTCCTTTATGTGAAGGTACCACGAGCGATGATCGTTGTACGAAAGTGAAATACGTGAATTTTGCGTAATCACGTTGTGATGAATCGAAAGAATCGTCTGAGTGTCAACCCTGACCCAGGCCACCTGAGATCAAATATCAAAGAGAGTAAGATATTGAAGATCCGCTCGAAGCTCCACCTTTCCAGGTTCCTTCCTTGATTTACGATTTGACAAAGGCCAAAGCCAGGCACGAGCCGTACAATTTTTCTACAGATACACAAGGCGCTCGCGATTTGCGTCAAGGACATCCGGAACGTGAATAGATAAACGCCGAGTGCGTATCGACGAGTCGTTTTTTTGAATCTCAGGTTCTACGAAGAAACGCTTCTTCACAGGTAAATGATCGGATCATTTGTTAGCCAGGAACACGTAATACGTCGTTCAGTCTTCGCTGACGGGTAATACGTCACGTGAAATGCCTTTTCAATGCTACGACTAAGCCCGTTTCTCATTGTGACAACCTAACAATCTCCATTTCCTTAATAATTGAGTGGCTCTACGTCATGCAAAGCATCGTGCACACAATTTTCGCCCGCGTAGCTCGTTAAATTATATTTCCAGCTGCGCTCGTATGAGGGGCAAATTTTTGTTAGCAAATTAAAAAAAGCCCTGCTAATACATTAAGTCGGGATTTTCGATTGGTTCGTTAATTGGATTTTATAATTACCTTGAAACCTCGGAGGTTGTCCACGACGCAGGATAGCAACGCGTCCCTTCCTACGCTCACTGTCACGTTCGGTATTGGCTCGGCGAATCTTGGTACGTGCGCATCTGTTGGCATACAGTGGGATCCGATCGTAAATATCGTATTTATCATGAGGGATGATGCTTGTGATGTCAATTTATTAACGAGCTAGTGAATACCGCTAATTGGCGGATTCGGATAGATTTTATTATACAGATTACTTGTTAACGATGGTCCATCAATTTTACCACGTTGGTTGCGATGCTGGTATCGACGATGAGATTACATTTTTTTTCTCCGTAATTCAATGGATACTTGAGTATCGTATCGCGTGAGAATAACGAGGCCTAGATTTAGGAGAGATGAAATATGTTATTGTGGCAATTACGGTTAACGCGCTCTGCTTTAAGAGTCTTAATTGTAATTCTTAGGAGGCGGGAAATTTGAATTATTTATGGGCTAAGTATAACGATGACCAGACGTAGTTTGCTTGGCTGAAGTAATTTTGTATTGTACTGCTGCGATCAATAAATAATTGTACACCCCATTTCTTTACGATAGTACCCACGTGTATAGGGAGAAAGAAAGAGAGAGGAGAGAATTTTCGCAAAGTTACTCCTCGGCCTCGTTAATGAGAAAGAACATCGTAATTATGATGCACAGCCAGGCGAGAATTGATTGCTCCTACAGTCCGGTTAGATATAACGCAAAAAGAAAAAAAAAAGTTTCGTAAAATCAATTGAACAATTACGTTGCTGGACCGTGTAGGCAAATAAGGATGACTTGATGTCTGTAGGATTTTTAATTTTTTTTTTCTTCATTTCCTTTTTTTTTATTTCCCTCCAGTCTCTCTCATTCGTGCCGAGGAAGAGAAGCAGGAACGATTTGGGAGGACTTGACGCTTTGCAAGATCCACCCTCGAGCAACCGCTTTCCCGTTACCACCGTGAAAGGAAGTGAACCTACTACTTCCGGTAACCTATTTTGCTTCAAATCAACAGGTTTTCCATTCTCCTCCGCACAACACGCTCTGCTACACTCCAAATCGATATTTCAATCCCTACTCAAGATATTGTGAGCCGCCGATATTTGCCGGATATACGAATGAAATATTTTCCATATCTACTGTACATACTTAAGTTCCATGTCAGTACGTCGGTACTCCCTTGCGATATCTGTACCGATATATCGAACTGCATCGCTTATCCATTGTACATACCATGTACTCGACATATATGTATGTCAACATGAAATCGCTATTTTTTTGCGAATTTCAAATATATATCTTTTCAGGATATTCCATCTGCGAAAGCAGTTTTGGCTTATCCAGAGATTTTACCCTCGTTGAAAAATAAAATGGAGTTTATTTGAGCAATATTGTGCTGTGGGTAGCGGGTGTATTTTGGAATTTATTATTTTTTCAGTAGCACCAGCTATATTTATTCGAACGGTACAATATATCACAGATGGGTTGAAGTGCCTGAATAGGGAATAAAAAGATGATTGTTTTGCTCTTCTTTTTTGGCAGGGTCAATGAAAATAGTCGTATCGTGCTGTTTTGACAGGACAAAGATAAAGATAAAATTTTCGTTTGGAAATCTCGTTAGACTTCATTAGCCCGGTGGAACATTGGCAGCCGCTGATTAACGAGCTCTGATTAAAGCGAAATGCCGGTGCACTTGCTGCTTGTAATAATAATCTGAGTTTCGGGAGTCTCGCAGCCAGCTAGTTTTTCGTATGAGAAGAACGAAACGAGGGTGCACGATGGATGGATTTATTACGTTGGTACAACGGCCACTGGCAATGGGCACACATTTCACAAGCAATATATTACAATATATGGTTATATATATATAACTTGTGACGTGACGATCAGAAGCTACGCCCTGGGGTTGATTCGTCCAGTCACGCCAATGCTCTCGGAAGATTTTTTATCGTTCAGTTGAGGTCGAGGTGCTCGAATCTGCACGATTCTGAGGAAAGTACCCGACGGAGACGTCTCCAAGTCTTTTAAGGGCAGGATGGGAACACCCTGACCCTGGTAGGGATGTGGCCTCAGCTGTCGTTCGATGTTCTAGGGATCGAGAAATCAAGTAAACCCCATTTGGCACACCGTCCTCCGGGTTTTTTAATTGATCAGCTGATCAGCTAAACAACTTATGATCAGCTGAAGCACCGATCCCCGTGAGCAATCATAGGTATATTAAAACTTCCTGGCAACAGGGAGCTTCGGTATCGGAGCCTCCTAGCCCTGACGATGCAGACTGAAACCTTTGGGAAACGTCGGCACGAAGCTGAACACAGACGCGGCTTCCATGAGTATTAATGATAATATTGGCCGCGAAAGTCTAAAATTTTAGCGGATTAAACTCTTTCGAGTTTGGTATATATGTCAGTCACGTGCTTACGATATCTCCATAATTCGCAAACACGTTTAGGCAACATACTCGACGGTTAGTCGTGGGCAAATTATACCGTAGAATTTTGCATTTAGACATTTCTGTTACAATGGTAATTGGCGATGTAGTCGCTATGGTTTATGCGAATTTTCAATAGTTACATTTTGAAGCTGACAATCAAAATCCTGGATTGTTAGCTTCCCGAACTTCCTAACTATAGTTGCAATTAATTGTGAGTGCGAATACGACATGCTAAATGTCCTATTGCGTATTTGTATCTGCTTTACGATAAAACGAGACTGATGCACTAATTAAATACTACTGTCGGTTCGTGCATCTCCAATGTGTCGCAGAAATTCCGTGAACGCTAACGAACTCTTGGCATTTCGATTGTATGGAGAACAAAGTCGTCGAGATCGATTTTCCAAATCGAGAATTTACGTTAGCACTGTATTCTGGGTAATATATTATAACGGGGAATTAAACACGTTAATATATAATCCCCGCATAAAATGCATATGTTTTGTATACACGTATACACAGCTAGGAAACGAATGCTCTCTTCCAAAGCAAAAAACAAGGATCAGTTTCCGTTTTATTTTTCATTTGAAAAAAAAAAGGTTGGCGAAATCGGTCGAGGGAGAATACGTTGTCAAGTCGATTTCCTTTTATCCTGATTAAATGAAGGGCACGTAAAATAGCTCCCAAAGGAGGTCGGATCCTGATACGGTCGGTACTCTCAGACGAACAGGTGCGCATCCGCTTGTCTTTAAATTTTCACGAGCAGCTTCACTCGACGGGACATCAACGACACAATAGCGTATCTCGAGCATACTCGAGCCTGAATTTCCGGTTGTCACTGGACATCCAGTGGTTGTCAGGAAATGCGCGCTTGTCATTAAAATAAAAGCCAAGTAATTTTATCATCCTATTCTCATCCACTTACGTGACACTCACGGTTTCCGTTTATTTAGTCGTTTTCGAGGATTCCCGCAAAAACATCCGAAGGGTAGCCGAGATCCCGCATGGCTGAGCCACGTTATTTTCCAATCTCTCTGCGTATACCTATGCAGTACCAGACCGTTTGTGGAAAAAGGGAGCAGCGACGCGTTCGGAAATTACCCAGTCTCTGGAGGCGTTTGGAAAAAGCTTATCGTAGTCAGCGCCTCGACTGTGCTCCGTCTTGTCGCCAAACTGTCGATTCGTATGTCTTATCGTGACTAGATAGGAGAGCAGAGCCCGCCGAGAGTTATCGAGAATGGTTGTAGACCGTTGAACCTAAGTATGTGGAAGGTAAGCCGCTTATTTCGCTTAAGGGAACATAACGTGGGAAGTAGCATAATCCCTTTCTGAGTTGCAGCCTCCGTCTGATAAGCCGAAATCCCGTCTAACGTATTCACTCCTGATAATTTGAAATCGGTCCGATTCCTCACTGCGAACAACGCTCCTCTCGACGATAAGAATTCGATTAGCGCGTCACTGCAGCTGCGACCCACCGCTGGGAGCCAAGCGTGCTAATAGAGCAGTTGAACATCGAGCGAGACTAACGCACGTGACTTTCGATACAAGCGAATCCGTAGGAGCGTTGTCAATGAATTTCAAAGCTTTGATACATTGTTGAATCGACGCTCGTTAATTCGAACAATGAAACTTCAGAGATCGATTATTATATTTAATTACCGGATATCGAGCAAGGGTCTCTTCGTAATAAAATACGCCGCAGAGGAATTGCCTGGCAAGTAATTAAAGCAAAGTAAATTTTAAGTACGACATTCAATTTATTTTTCTGCTTATTCTGTATAGCCGTACGTATACATATATACGTATGTCCGGTATTCGTATATCAGGGTGGCAAAACGACCAATTAGAGAATCGCGACAGGCGGAACCGGAAAGTTTTGCATGAAATTAACGTAGGAAAAATTACTGCTATTACTGTGGCCGCGAATGAGGATGGCGGAGTCGGCTTGTAATTATAAGTGTAGCCGTGACTAATTTAATTTTCCCCATCTGGAAGCGATTTGCCACTGCGCTAGGTGCAAGGAATGGCGTTTCAGTGTCTGGCGTCTCCCACGTAGTGCGGGAAATACGGGCGTCGCTACTTGGGAACGGAGCTTAACACTGCTTGTCACTTTAGACACCGTGTAAATAAAGTCCCTTTTAAATCTGATATCAAGACGGGATTCGAATGGCTGTCTCAATGGTCGGATACAACGCTCGTTACTTAGCTGTTGGCTGTGTGCATTTATTGCTCCTTTCACTTCCGCCGGAGCGCGTCCTCGTCTAATGACAACGAACGATTCCCATCGCGCCGAAACTGTCTGACTCATCGATTCCCCGAGGCATTTTTCACGTCTCCAGCTGAAAGCTGCTCGTACGTGAAAATGATAAAAATCGAAATAGGGCGAACACGTTACTCCTTCTCTCTCTCCCTTCCCGGCCGACACTCTCGACGAGAGATTATTTTACTTCCTGTCTCATTCATATTCATGACGGCGACCGACCGCTTCGTCTTCGCTATCCTCAACCGACTGCCGTTGCCTCTGCTGTTGCACGGCGACGTTACCGAACAGCTTCTCAGTGATTCCTTGCAAGCTCAGGCTACGCGCTTTCCGGCGCAGCCTCGACCTCGTTCAATCACGTCTGACCGATACGATAAAAGTTTATGGTAAAATTGTTGAAAATCTTTTAAAATGTGTCTCGTTGCGTCACCCTGTGTAACGAATTGGACATGCATCAGCACTTTAGCCTTGGGTATTAGTATACCGGTAGATGCCGAAGTGCCTCCTGAAGTATATTGCACGTACAGGACTGGTTACGACGTTGGTTGCCAAGGCTACGTAGTTGCGAAAGGTGTGCAAAATCAATGCCTTCAACCTCCCAATCTAAATAGCTCGTGTTAGAAGATACAAAGTGGCTCAAGTGCTTTGAGAACGCCCTTACAGACGGCAATACGTCACTCGTATAAATACAGCTCGTCTACGTGTCCAGGTCTCCCGCGATTGTCAGCAGTCTCGGCGATATTTATTGTCTTGACTGTATCGACGATAGACACAATGATAATTGCATCGTGAAACGCGACCGGTGTCGGACGTTACTCGAGTTGCGTTTACCAATAGGATTCGACTTCTGGCCCCTTTCGCTTCCCAAACGCGGAATCCCCTGACTGGCGTGACTGACGTAAAATTGTGAAAATTTCAAAGTGTTATCGATAAAGTTTCGAACGTTATTTTCACTCCGTCGAAGTTGCTCGCTGGTTACAGCGGCAGACGAGATTCGCCCTCGGAGATCCTCCTAGAAAAGGAAATCTACAGCCACGTGCGTATCTACTCCAGAAGACGTATATCGTTTGGGTACTAAAAGTGTCGATTAAAAGTCTAGAAACATTTATTTTCATTAGTCAAGTCGAGTCTCCGGCATGCCACGGCGTATTTATCGATATCGTTATTGCAAACGTGTCAGGATCTGTAATTAAAGGTTGCTGGAGGGTGGAGTAAAATTTATCCCGATTCGCGTCCACGGTTCATGTCGCAGACACGCAGTGTACCTGTCGGTAAGGTAGATCAGGCAAATATACTTAGGATCGAGTAAGGCACGGATCGGCGGGGTTAAGCAGAAGCAAATAAAAGCAGCACTTGGAATCATTGCATGCCGAAAGTTACTCTGCGGCAGGTGGTGCTCTACGCCCTGGCCTAGACAAAGACTTTGTAAAGGCGAATCTTTGACTCGGGGGTGGAATATGCTTGTTCCGGCTTTTATGCCCTGGAATATTTCAAACTACGACACGTACTAATTTCACTTCTGAAATCCCGACAGTCGTTCCTACCACTGAGGATGACTCACCCTATGAAAGCATGTTCGCTGTTATTCTCATCAAATTCCACCCTTCTCCCCTTTTTAACCCCCCCAGCACCCCCACAGTCCCATAATGGTCCTGTCGTGCTCTGATACTCTGGGACGTATGCAGCACGTTCCTTACTCGATTACGAGAGAAAAGCGGATGTGCTCGTCTATTTACTCGGGGAGGATGGTCGGTGGGTGTGTATAAGGTATGAAAAAGATATTACGTGAATATTACTCGTCATGCGCGTAACGAATGATTTTAATTAATAGCAGGTTGTTTAATGACCATTGCTGGATTTCACGGGGGTGCCTCGGACGCGGGGGCATTTATGAGAGGAATTAGCTATAATTTAGCGAACTTTTTTTTTCTTTAATAAATTTTTTTTTCGCAATATGTTTCCACGTGCAACGGTGATTAACGCGCGTTATTTCGCGGCACTCGGCTGGTTCAGGACAGCGGGAAGAGCATGACGACCGCTAGAATTATATTTACGCATATGATACAGCCTCCACGCGAAATGGTCCATTTCATGACTTGGCTGGCTGCAGTCGTTAACACGATGCGTGCCGTGGTAGTTCAGCGTTATGTCGGTATAATGGTATACCATGCTCGAAGTCGGTACCCCGTGTGCAGATTCGATTTTCGAAAATAATTTTCCCAATTAAATTGAGACTCGCGCTACACGTGTTAATTGTGCTTGGACTTTATTGTCATATTTTTCAACTGACCGTTGCCCCTATGATCTTCCGACGTGGATCCGTCGTGCGATACGTGGTTGGCTACTTTTCCACATCCCGCGAGGCTCCTGGCTTGACGTCCTGCAATCAATAAATGTTAATATCAATTAGTATCGCGAAGCCATCAGAAGAATATTTTTGCGTTCGATTCAATATTCCTGAGTCCTACGGGGATTACAGTCTAATTGAAGCTTCGTCCTGAGTTGGCCGACGGTTACGCGAGGAGCATGAATATCCAGCGAACGGTCTCCCCACTGTAAATATCCCATGACGAATTGTCCCGTTAATATCTTCGAAACAAAACATTGGAGACACAATAAAGTCGTATTTATAGGTAATATATATCAATGCGAAATGACATCGTTATGTGGGGTGCTTTACGAAATATCGTTGCCCATATAAAAAATCGAACATCCCGGAAGCTACCAGGAGCCCGAGAGAGTCGTTCGCGACACGTGACGCATCTGAATTAACATCTATAAAGCATTAAAAAT